AAAAAAAAAAAAAAAAAAAAAAAAAAAAAAAAAAAAAAAAGAGTACAATAGCAATACGCTGGGTCATCCATCCACCTAAACTGCAGTGTGTCCCAGAGAGAGAGTCGTGACTGAGCAGGGGTCTTAACACTCTGGTCGAAATATGAGACGTGTGTAAATCTAGGCTGGTGAGTGATGTTTCTCCAACGGGCGGTGAGGTTTGACTGACGTTGCATGATGGGAAAAGGCTGTGACATGTGTCCACTAACTCACTCATCACTGTTGTCTGTGGTTGACCCGTGTGCTGTGTTTACAAACTAACACTTGGTTACAGGACAGGTGAATGAGAGGCCTAATATATTCGCATAGTGTTTGCTGCAACTTAACCGGAGGAGATGGTGCATGGAAACACTAGAAATGCCGGTTGGCCTTTTTAAAAATATAAACATTTCCTTCTCTTTTTCTCCACAGGAGTAAATCAACAAGTGATATCCAGGACCCCATCGTCTCCCGGCAGGCTCGCTACGAAGAGCTGCAGAGGTACCGCGAGCAGACAAAGGATAGTGATGACAAGTGGCAGGATGTGAGTATTAACTGATATGTGCGTGTGTCCACCGCTCCAGGATATCTGTTCGCTTCCCATCATTCTTGTTGTATAAATCAAAGACAAGATGACAGAAAAAAATAAGTTGTGATTTCCAACACAGATAAGGTTGAAGTGAAAGGTGAGTGCATGGAGACCAGGACAGCAGGTGTTGTGATGCAGTGAAGCGGCTACAGGGTGAAATGAGAAGGGTTTAGACAGAAGCCAGAGATGAAGCAAGTCGCTGATTGGTGCAGCGCTGCCCTATGGCTACAGAATGTCCTCATTTCCAAATCACAGTGTCTGACACAGGAAATACTGTCAAACAAGTTATAGATTAATATGAAATGACTTTATAATGCGAGTTAATCAGTGTAGAATTAACTTATTCCTGGAAAATTGGCTGCAGGGCTATGATTCTATAGACAAATACTCCATTACAAGTGATCAAATGAAGAATAATATGCAGTTATCCACATGTGCATGCATGGCTGTGTCGCACCAGGCGTCTGTCAGCAGTGCGATTGGTGTCAGTGCAAAATAATGGAGTCTCAAAGCAGCATTTAGGTCACACAGTCCCCCAATGCACAGGGGAGGTGAGCCAGGAGGAGCCTGTGGAGCTCACAAGTAGAACACCTTCAAATGTTGCCCTCCTCTGTCTGGCTCCTTCTCAACTTCACTGCGCAGTTAGCCATGCAACACAACCGGTCTGTTTTTATCTAGATCTAAACTTAGAATCGGCACAAAATGATGCACCAGGTGACGCGAGCTTACTTTTGCTCCAGGACCTGAGCAAATGGAAGAACCGGCGCAGGAGCGTCAACTCTGACATTGTGAAGAAGAAAGAGGAGCGCGAAAAGATCGAGCAGATTACCTTCGGCGGTAACAGGAGGTCCAAGACCTTCAAGGAGATGCAAGAGGAGAGGTGAGAAGGAATAAAAAAAAAACCTGATCCGGTTCTTTTGATAATGCACAATGATAGATCCTGTTTTTTCACTTGAAAAAAATCAAGGCACACTGAATTTCTTCCTCTTTTAACTCCTTTCTACCCTCGGAGGTGGATCCTTCACTGAGGTAATCTTAAGAGAAGGTGTGAATGAGATGTTTTGCAGATTTGAACACAGAATATTTGTGCAGGAGTGAGTGAGGAGAGTCTCTGTACGTTTGCCATTAGTCATTGTGGAAATGTAAATTAGTCACGGCTCACAACCTGCCAACTCGCCCCTCTTTTACTGTACCACCTTCCTTTACCCGCTGCTTTTCAACCTGTGCTCCTCCTCGTCTCTCACTGCCCTCCCCATTTCATCTCCCTGTGCCCATCTTCATCTTTAATCCTATCCATCACTGTTTTTCCCTTTTAATCTCATCACCTTTCTCCTCCTCTGTCCGGTCCACAGAGACACTAAAGGAAAAATAAGCCTTGGCAGTCGTCTTGGCTCTCTGTCTTACCTGGACGACGAGGAGGACGTATTTGAGAGACCCGTCACCTCCCCTCGTACCCGAACCCTCCCCGCCAGGAGCTTCACTATTGACACTCCTTACCATAATTTCGAGCCCTCTGAGCCTTCTCTGAAAGAGGACGACCCCCCCGCTGCCTCCCCAGCCACGGGCAGGGCCGCTTCCCCTCCCACCTCACGGGAAGTCAACATTGTGGACCGTCCTGCAGGCAGAGACACCACGACCCCCATCACTCCCAGCCTCACTCCCTCCAGCCGAGGCTCTCTCCACAACTCTGCTGCAGTTGCACCTTTGCAGAGGAGTCCCATCTCAGAACGCCGCAGAACCACCAAGACAGAGGAGGTCACGACCGTCGTCTCCTCCTCCAGAGCCGTACAAAAGGTGGCAGAGCCCAGGCGCCCATTGCGCACACAAGCCAAGGTGGAGGCCCCCTCCTCTGGTTTTCTGTCCAAACAACAACCACAGCCCAGCTCGATGGAACCCAAACCTCCCGGGGTGTCTCAGGTTTCCGCCTCCCTCCCCAGGAGCTACCAGAAATCGGATAGCGCACGTCTAACCTCAGTTGTCACGGCAAGGCCCTTCGGGACCCAGTCCTCCCGCATCACCTCACTTCCGCGAGTCTTCACAGTGAGTACTAGACGATTTTACAACCAAACACAAACTAGCAGCGTGGCACAAAGGACGGGCATCCAGAGGGAGTGTAGGTTAGAAATGTTTGCCTTGGTGATCAGGTACAGTTTTATTTGTCTTGAGTGCATCAGTTACCCAACAGTACGATCTGATTACTGTGTGAATAATGGATGAGGCCAGTGTTTTTATAATGCTAACTACTAGAGCAGCTATTTTCAGCCTTCTCACATTCATTACAGTTACAGCAAATGCAATAGACAATATATAATGTTTCACACACGTTTGAAGAGCTGGTTTCCCCACATTTTCAAACCTTGTACAGATTAAAATACATTATTTCCTAATCATCAGCCATTTGTTGTTCAATGAAGTTTTACATTCTTATGGCCCCCGAACATTATTTATAATTCTGCATTCATCCCTGACAGATGGACGACCCTCACAAGCGTGTCAATGGAGACGCCTCGAAGAAGTCGACGGTGCCGAGTCGCTATCACCAGTTCATGACCACCGAGGACGAGGCTCACTCCAGCTCGGCCCACAGCAGTGAAGATGAGGAGGAAGAGGAGGAGGCGGTGGCGACGCGGGGCAAGACAGCGCCGAGGAGTGTCACCTCAACTCAGAGCACCTCACCCGTCCCTGCTCCTCTGGTTAAGAGAGAAGCTCCAGTCAGTCCTGCTCCAGCCAAAGAAAGCAGCCAGGTATTTAATTACCTGCTGTCGACACAAGAGATCAGCTGTTTTCTTTTTCTCCTTCAATCAAGACATTAAAAAATAATGCAGCTTTGTTAACATGAAGTTTATTTAAGACTCTCTGAAGGGGAATGCACACATA